CTTTCTGCTTTTAAGATTCTCTCCTTGTCTTTAACTTTTAACACTTTAATGATCGTGTGTTTTGCTGTGAGTCTCATTGGTTTTACCTTCTTTGGAATCTAGGGGCTTCCTGGTTTTGGAATTCTGTTTCTTTTCCCAGGTTCGGAAAGTTTTCAGACATTATTTCTTTTAATAAGTTCTCTACCTCTTTGTCCGTCTCTTCGTCTTCCAGAATTCCCATAATGGGAATATCTTCCATATGTTTATGTCCCATAAGTCCCTTAAGCTGTCTTTGCCTTCTTTTAATATTTTTCCTTTTGCTCTTCTGTATGAATTCCACTTTCCTGTCTTTGAACTTTGGATCCTTTCTTCTACTTCACCTCGTCTTCTGTTGAGCTCTTTTATTGAATTTTTCAGTTTTGTTACTCCATTTTTGATCTTTTTGATTTTTGTTTGCTATGTTCTTATATTTTCTGTCCCTTTGTTGAAATTCTTACTTTGTTCGTACATTGTTCTCAGGAGAAAGTAAGAATTTGTGGGCATTTTTATGACCATATTTTGAACATTTTTTCAGGTAAATCACTTATCCCCATTTCATTAAGGTCTTTACCTGTGATTTTATTTTTCAGTTGGAAACATATTCCTCTCCTCCTTCATTTTCTGTGATCCTTGCTGTGTTTGTTTTCTATACATTAGATAAAACTGCCACTTCTAGGCTTGAAGGACTGGTCTTAAATAGGAGATGAAACTTGCCATCCAGCCCTGCCCTAGCTCTTGCTCATCTCTCAAACTTTTGTGAATGTCCAAGCAGCCTTCTCTGTCCTTAGTGGTACCCAGTAGTTGAGGATGCACCAAACAGCAGGATCTCTGTCAGCCCCTAGACGGAGGCTGATTGGAAGCTGGACCCTCAGGTAGGAGCTTTAAAGTATGTAAATATACCTCTTTCTAGGGAATACTGGTCAATGGGTGTTTCTGTCTGATTCCTCTGTATGTATCCATTTAAGAACTATGTCTGGGTGAGGGATTAGCTCAGTGGCAGAGCACATGCTTAGCATGCAAGAGGTCCTGGGTTCAATCCCCAGTGCCTCCATTAACTAAAAAATAAAAGGAGGATAACAATACTGTCCTGTTAATCCCGTGAACACAAGCCCTGCTAGCAATGGAACCAGGCTGTCAAGGGATGTGTCCTTGGTAAGGGATGTGTGTACAAGCATCTTTCTTTTACCAGTGACCTGCGACGGGGCAGAGAAAGAGCACAAAGGCAGCACCCACTGGCCTGCCTGGTTTTTGGAGAGAATGCAGTTGGATCCTAGCTGTGTGTTGAATTAGAAGCCTGACCCTCAGGGTACAGCTTTAACGTTAAGCAAATAGGTCTCTTTCATGGAACTACTGGGCAGGTTTGTCTGCTGCCTCTGCACTGGGCTTGGGGCACAGCCCCAGTGAGTCCTCATGTGCCCCTTGAGACTTTCTCAGTCTGTTATACCCTTGTGTGCCTCATGGAGGCAATTCCCACTGGCTTTCAGAGCTAGATGTTTTGGGGGCCCATCTGTCAGGGGAAAGTCTTAAAAGTTGGGATGTCAGATGTGGAGTCCAAACCTTCTGCTCCTCAAGGAGAATCTGGAGTTGCGAGTTCCCTCCTGGTGGTGTGTGACCGTGCCGGGGGTGAAGTGATGACAAGATTGTGTCTGACCTTCTACTACACTTTACGATGTGGTGATTTTCTTATCGTTCCACTGAGCTACTTTCTGAGTTCTTTTTCAGAGGGAACTGTTCCATGTGCAGCCATAGATTCATTGTGTCCATGGGAGGAGGGGAGCTTGGGAGACTCCTATGTCACCATCTTCTGTTCCTTTTTATTTGATGACTTATGCCATGAACTGCCTATAATTGTAGCACATGTGTAAGCTTTAGACTATCTTATGACAGAATTCAGAAATGCTGAGTAATCCCTCTTGTTTTTATTTGATATCTCTTCCTGGAATGTTCCATAAACAATTAAAAATAGAAACATACATACACATAGTGGGAAGAGTTGGAAAGGAAAGACTGATACATACGTCTGTACTTGCTTATAGACGTAATTGCCTCTGACTTGATGGGAAGGAACATGGAGCCTTCACTGAGTTAATTGAACCCTAGCTTTTGGGCCTCCATCTCTCAGAAGATACTGTTTTCAAAGTCAATATGCTATCGTGCTTTGGGGAGGTAATGACTTTTCTTCATATAAGTTTTTCTCTTTTTTCTTTTGGTTTTCAACTTTTGGGAAAAGTAAAGTGGTGAGTTGGATTTTAAAGATTTAGTATGTAAGGGAGCAGTGGTAGTTTAATCATTCTGTGTAGAAAATCAATCTCAATATTGGTAGGCTCCCACCTTGCTAACCCTATTGGTTTTCTGCTTACTCTGATTTCCTCCAACAATGTCATCATTATGTGATTGCATGGAAAACACCAAACGTTTTAAGTTATATCTGCTCCATAAAAGCACCTCAGTTTTTATTTCTAAGATGAAAAGTTCAAGCCATCCAGCTTTTCTTCCCAGCTATTATTCTGTCTGTTTCTGTAATGAGGTATTGAAAGAAATAATAAAAACTGTGCCAACTGAATGAAGTGCAAACCCAGGGTACCTCAAGGACCCTGTGAGGCTGGAGCCGTGACTACTGGGAAAGGTGAGCGTGGGGTTCATCCAGAAGATACGACTG